ATGGCGTCTGGGAGCGGCGGGGCGCGGAGGAGCTGGGGGCGTGAGGGGGTGGAGGGAGGCCCGCGGGTACCGCTGGAAGCATCGGGGCGCAGGGGGCCTAGTCCCCGGGGTGGCTCCGTGGCTGTGAGGGTCCTTCCATGGGCGGCCTCCTCCGAAGCCGGGGCAGAGGCGTGTGGTGGGGACGGTGTGGGTGCAGTGTGAGGTGCTCCATTTTCTCCTGTAGCTGCCTGGGTTGAGCCCTCTGGTCAGGGCGTTGGCTGGGGAAGGAGATTTCAAGTTGTTAAGGGAATAAACAGTGGAAGGGGGCTGAGTAACCGCCTGGGGAGCGCTCGGGAGTTTGGAAGTGTCTCTGGAAAGAACTTCTGAATAAATGATTCGGGCGTTTTTCTCTCGAGTAGCGCGTTCTGTGCTGCTTAAGGAGCCTGACCTTGAGAAGTGGGGAAATTGCGAAGGATTCAGGTGATGATTCAGAGCCATAAAAATCTGCTTTAAAGTGTTACACCAAATAAATGCATTTACCTCAGGGATAGAAAGGCAGGGGGGTATGTGCTGGGGCTGTGACTGGGGGGGGGAGCGGTCTCCTGGTGGTGGGTGGGCTCTGCCTCCTGACAAAGGCCTTTTATTTTTTTGACAGCAGGGCAGGTCCACCCAGTTAACACTGAAAAAGAAAACCATTTTCTCCTTCCAGCAAGAGTTGAGTCCTGTTGCTTACTCCTGTTTTTCTCAAAGGGCAGGGCCCCTTTGGGCTTCAAGAAGCTAATACACCCTGTTATGGCAAGACTGGGTGTGTTTTTAAAATGAGTCAGCTATTCTGAGATAATGCTTACATGGCTGACCTCACTCTTCTAATGAATTGCCGACTTCTAATAAAAAGTGCAGTGAACAATTAAAATGGTCTCATTCAAAGCTTTCTGATTCAGTACTCGGAAATTACACCATTGCAGTTTCACCCTAGATAGGGGTGTCTCTGTTCTCCTGTCTCTCCAAGCACTTTCCTTTTGGCTGTTCAGCTTCCTGCCATCATCTCCAGCTGAACCTGATGGCTGCTGGCAGTGAGAGGGACACTGACACCAACAGAGCCCTTTCAAGTGCCACTAGGTTGGAGGCAGGTGTTTCCTACCTTCCTTGCGATGACAATGATCAGAAACAGTGCTAGAAAGCTATCTTAAGAAGTTAGCAGGTACAACAAAGCTCTGCAGGAGGAGAAGGGGATTTTAAATAGTCGAAAGAACCTTTAACAGGCTAAGTATGAGGTGTTAGGCTCCACTTCATGGCATTTCTGTTGAGTAGACACTTCTGGACACCGCATCTGTCAGCCATGATGTCAGGAGACATGCTAGATTCCCTGTGCACCAGGGAACCCAGGAGAGGGAGATGGGACAGGAGGGGTAATTGTCCTTGCAGCTCTTTAACATTCGTGACAGCTACAAATGTCTAAACTTGCTCAAAGATTTCAGAAGTTCATGGCAACTATCGGCAGCCAAGGGCAGGAAGGGGGGGGAGAAGAAGTGGAGGCAAACATTCTCTGGAAAGGGGGGAATATGTGGGACTGATGGGTAGAGGAATAGAAAAGCAGGGTGAGCACTGCCAGAGGGATTAGCTGTTTGCAATGACAGTGCAGAAGTAGAAAAAAACGGAAAGTGTAGGAGTGTAGATGTGACAGACAGGAGATGTTGAAAGGACGTCTTCAAGCCACAGAAGCATCCAAGAGTGCTAAAGTATTTATTTTAAGGTTTCCTACTGAGTCAGTCTGTTTCCCTCTGAAATTACAGAAATAGAGTAGTGCCATTTTATAATCCCTGAGGAAGCACCTGGGATTCTTCAGGTCCACCCTCAGTGCAGAGCTTCTCCCTCCCATAGTGAAACATCTTCTTCCCCTCTGGTCCCACCACCAAGTGACGTTTGGGTGTGAGATCCTGCCTGGGGTCCATGCTCCGGTGTTCCGAGGCTTCCAGCCCACAGGCTGCCCTTCCCACCACAGCTCGCTTTACCCCAGGCACCAGCTACTCCGGGGAACACTGAAAAGAGATGGGGAAGGACAAGCTTTTATCTAGGCTGCCCAGTTCCCACTGGGAACTGCTCACACTGGGATCATTCCTTTTCCTGCTGGCATGGCTAATTTTCATCCTGGAATCACGTCACTGTCCTTCTTGCTGGCGTGGCTGTTATCTGTTCTGGAGCTGCTGCTTTGTTTTTTTCTGCTAGCACAGCCCCAGCAGCCGGAAGGTAAATAAATCCCTTGGCCATTAGCACTGAATAAACGCGGTGTAAGATGCTTTTCTGATCGACAGGCTCAGATTGAGAGACCCTTTTTGGCAGGGCTCTGGTTTAGGCTCTGCTCCCCCTGGGGCAGTGGGGCTCAGCAGGGGCTGCAGGCTGATAAGGGACAGGCAAAGCAGAGGAGGTCGCGCTTTTAAAAATGGCTCGAGTTTGGTGAGTCAGGATTGAGGAAGTGCCACAGCTCACGTTGAGAACGATTTTTCAATGCAGTGAGTTCCTGCTGCCCGTGATCCTCTGCACTGTCCCCGCGTTTCAACATCCCGCCTTAATGAGGGAAGTAGGTTTAACTGAAAAATAATCCCCCAAATCAAGCAGCTTCTGCTACGAAGCTGAAGTAGCTGCTGAAAACATCCTGTTTTTTTCCACCAAGCTGTACTGGAAGTTAAGAAATAGCCCGTGGAGGATTGTGCAATCCGAGTTCAAAGCTGGATGAGTCAGGAGCGGGGTGGAGCCGGCTGTAGGTTTTGCTCCAGTATCTCAAGTCAGCCCGGAGGGGCCTTGGAATGTAGGTACAGAAACAAAGCAACCAGGTGAGAAGAGAGAACAGGGGAAAAAAAATCCAAACCCCAAAAAATCAAATCCCAAGTGTTTTTAATTATGAAAACAGTGCACTAGTGCTTGAAAGTGTTATGCCTTCCCTTTGAAAGCCCAAGTTTCTAGTCTGTGTTGGTACTCCTCAATCCAGCACCAAGTTTACACTCAGTGCTACGAGGCTTCGTGAGGAGTGGCTTGTAATGAAAATGTGCTCAAAGAGCCACTCACAGAGTGAGAACTCACCTGTGGAAGTAGCTGAGCCACTGGGCAGTACGATGGCAGGTGAAATTTGGCTCAGGCTCGCAGTTTTCCCGGGGGAAACCAATCCTAATTGCAGGTGTTCAGCAGCAGGATCACTGTAAACCTGGGATCGCTGCGCAGGAATGTCAGCTCCATGGTTGGCAGGAGCCAAAACAGTGTCAGGGAAGGAGCAAAAAGAAGAAACTATTGCCTGAACCCTGGTGGACCCACACTTGGAGTGTCACGTGCAATTCCTGCGTCCAAAGGGCAAGAAGGACACTCTGAGGGAAGGCGCAGTTTCCGTGGGAGAAGTGGCTGAATATGCTGGAATTCCACACTGGGAACACAAAAAGAACTGGTTCTTTGTGTGATTCCCTGTATTGCAAGGTGTTGGGGTTGCATGAAGATGATACAGGCTTCTTGCAGGGCTGTGGGGGTATGTGGAGATCCCTGTTGGACTAACACTGATGGCAAAGTGGGAGATCCCAGAGGCAGCTGAGCCAGCAAAGGGGCAGCAGCTCTGGGACGGGGAGGGGGACAGCGGGTGCTGCTCCTGCTGATGGAGCCATCCCTGGCATCCGCTGATGGAGGCCAGATAACGAGGTGGGCCTTTACTTCCCCCAGCCCTCTCCCGCAGCAGCCCAGGCTGCAGCATCGCTCATCTGCCTGCCAGAACTGATGGTTATTAACCTGTCCCAGCCTGTTGTTGGTGGCCATGCTGGGAGTTCATCAGCCCCTGGCCACGTGCCACCGTGTCTCTCCTCTGCAGGCAAGTGAGATCCAGTAAGCAGTTTGGCAAGGGATTTCTCTTCTGGCAACCCACTCTGCCCCGCTCGTTACGCACAGGGTAGGATGTGGCACTGATAAACAGTTTGCAGAGCTCGAAAACGCTGTTTACCCATCACACTGCCCCGGAATTGCCTTGGCATTTCAGCCCCACTGCACTCTCACGCTCCAGTGGTTTGAGTTGGCCCCTGAGAGCCCCGACACGAGATGACGAAGGGGGAACGTGGCCGCCATGTTTCATCCCACTCACCCAGATTTATCAAGCCACAGCCGTAAAGAAGGTACACATATATTTTTTTTTATTTATTTATTCAGAGAATCACAGTAAGCCACCAGGATTCGCGGCTGCTTTCCCCAGCATAGTTTCCCAAACATTCACATGCAACTTTTGAAAACATCAAGTGCACTTCAAGAATTTGGAAGATGCACCACCATAAGTAAAAGCTGCACGAGACATTGGGATTTCTGCCAAAGGAGCAACCCCCTGCGAGAAAAACAGGCAGGAGCTGAGCGGGGAGCGAGGGGGGGCCGGGCTTCAGATGCTGCGGGGTCCCCACTTTATTGGGGAGCATTCTGGGGAACCTTCTGCAGAAGCAATTCTATGTCATCCTGGATCTTGATGGTTTCGAAACGCCGGCTGTAGCGTTTGAAGGGGACGCCGTCGGGGCCGATGAGGAACTTCTCGAAGTTCCAGGCGATGTCGTTGCGGCAGACGGGGGACCAGATGATGTACTGCGGGTTGGTCATCAGCGAGGAGGGGTCATCGTGCGGGAAGGGCAGGGCCTCTTTCAGGAAGGTGAAGAGGGGGTGCGCGTTCTGCCCGTTCACCTCGCACTTCTCGAACAGGATGAAATTGGGCTTGTACCCGTTGCCGGGACGAACGTGCTCCAGCGACAGCAGGATTTCCTCGTTGGTAGCATTTTCCTAGGGAAACCGACCCAAAACCGCCCCGGGAAAAGCTCGTGAGAGCTCAGCCGGGATGGGCGGCTCTTCCCCGTCCCCCGGCCCTCCCGTCCCGGTCCCGCCGCCCGCCCTTACCTGGTGGCCGAACTGGTTGCAGGGGAAGCCGAGAACCTGCAGCCCGCGGGGCCCGAAGCGCCGCTGGAGCTCGTTGAGCTGCAGGAAGTCGCGGGTGGTGGTGCCTCAGAGCGACGCCACGTTGGCCACCAGCAGCACCTTCCCCTGCAGCGACCCCAGCGACAGCGGCTCCTGCTCCTGCTGATGGAGCCATCCCTGGCATCCGCTGATGGAGGCCAGATAACGAGGTGGGCCTTTACTTCCCCCAGCCCTCTCCCGCAGCAGCCCAGGCTGCAGCATCGCTCATCTGCCTGCCAGAGCTGATGGTTATTAACCTGTCCCAGCCTGTTGTTGGTGGCCATGCTGGGAGTTCATCAGCCCCTGGCCACGTGCCACCGTGTCTCTCCTCTGCAGGCAAGTGAGATCCAGTAAGCAGTTTGGCAAGGGATTTCTCTTCTGGCAACCCACTCTGCCCCGCTCGTTACGCACAGGGTAGGATGTGGCACTGATAAACAGTTTGCAGAGCTCGAAAACGCTGTTTACCCATCACACTGCCCCGGAATTGCCTTGGCATTTCAGCCCCACTGCACTCTCACGCTCCAGTGGTTTGAGTTGGCCCCTGAGAGCCCCGACACGAGATGACGAAGGGGGAACGTGGCCGCCATGTTTCATCCCACTCACCCAGATTTATCAAGCCACAGCCGTAAAGAAGGTACACATATATTTTTTTTTATTTATTTATTCAGAGAATCACAGTAAGCCACCAGGATTCGCGGCTGCTTTCCCCAGCATAGTTTCCCAAACATTCACATGCAACTTTTGAAAACATCAAGTGCACTTCAAGAATTTGGAAGATGCACCACCATAAGTAAAAGCTGCACGAGACATTGGGATTTCTGCCAAAGGAGCAACCCCCTGCGAGAAAAACAGGCAGGAGCTGAGCGGGGAGCGAGGGGGGGCCGGGCTTCAGATGCTGCGGGGTCCCCACTTTATTGGGGAGCATTCTGGGGAACCTTCTGCAGAAGCAATTCTATGTCATCCTGGATCTTGATGGTTTCGAAACGCCGGCTGTAGCGTTTGAAGGGGACGCCGTCGGGGCCGATGAGGAACTTCTCGAAGTTCCAGGCGATGTCGTTGCGGCAGACGGGGGACCAGATGATGTACTGCGGGTTGGTCATCAGCGAGGAGGGGTCATCGTGCGGGAAGGGCAGGGCCTCTTTCAGGAAGGTGAAGAGGGGGTGCGCGTTCTGCCCGTTCACCTCGCACTTCTCGAACAGGATGAAATTGGGCTTGTACCCGTTGCCGGGACGAACGTGCTCCAGCGACAGCAGGATTTCCTCGTTGGTAGCATTTTCCTAGGGAAACCGACCCAAAACCGCCCCGGGAAAAGCTCGTGAGAGCTCAGCCGGGATGGGCGGCTCTTCCCCGTCCCCCGGCCCTCCCGTCCCGGTCCCGCCGCCCGCCCTTACCTGGTGGCCGAACTGGTTGCAGGGGAAGCCGAGAACCTGCAGCCCGCGGGGCCCGAAGCGCCGCTGGAGCTCGTTGAGCTGCAGGAAGTCGCGGGTGGTGGTGCCTCAGAGCGACGCCACGTTGGCCACCAGCAGCACCTTCCCCTGCAGCGACCCCAGCGACAGCGGCTCCGCCGCCCCCAACGGCCGCGCCGACATCCCCGCCAGCCCCGCCATCCTGCCCGCTCCCGCCGCCGCCATCGCCAGCACTGCCCGCCGAGCGGCACCGGGCCCCGCCACACCGCCCCGGGCCCGCCTCCGCCCCGCCTCCGAGGGCGGCACCGCATCCCCGGCACCCCCTTATCCTCCGCCGCGGGGGGCTGGTAGGGACCCACCGGGCAGCCAGGGGCACCCCAGCCTTTCCCCCGCCTTCACGGAAAGGCCGGGCATCTGTCGGGGGATGAAAAGCTCCGATTCGGGTGGTTTCCCAAGTCCACAGACGACACCAGGTTCAGGGGGAGTGTTGGTCTGCACGAGGACAGAGAGGATCTACAGAGAGACTTGGATGGATGGGATGGATGGGCCAACGTTCATGATGTGAGCTTCAACAAGTGCTAGGTCCTGCTCTTGGGTCACAACAAGCCCACACATCAGTATGGGCTGGGGGAAGTGCCTGGTGGAAAAGGACTTGGGGTTCTAGTTGACAAGGAGCTGAATACGAGCCGGCAGTGTGCCCAGGTGGCCAAGAAAGCCAATGGCATCCTGGCTTGTATTAGAAATAGTGTGGCCAGCAGAAGCAGGGAGGTGATTGTCCCCCTGTACTCAGCACTGGTGGGGCCACACCTGGAGTGTTGTGTCCAGTTTTGGGCACCTCAAAACAAGAGAGATCTTGAGGTGCTGGAGCCCACAGAGAAGCTGTGGATGCCCCATCCCTGGAGGTGTTCAAGGCCAGGCTGAATGGGGCTTTGAGCAACCTGGTCCAGTGGGAGGTGTCCCTGCAGGGCAGTTGGAACTAGGTGGTCTTTAAAGTCCCTTCCAACCCAAATCATTCTATGAGTTTATGTACCAGGAGGAGGAAAAGGAGTTACCCTGAACCCACAATGCTGTGGTCCAGGAAGGGCCACAAATTCAGTCTCCTTTTATAATTTTTCTCCTTTTATAATTTTTCCACCTCTTTCATGCTGGTAAAGCTGCCCTTTGCTTCAGCGGTTGCTTTTCCCCATCCCTGGCTTTTCCATTTCTTGCCTTACTGCTTGGATCTGCTTTAGGGAGGTTTAAATCATGCTGTGGGGACTGCTCCTCTTCTCATGGCTGGGGCAGCCCCAGCTGAGCTGAGCTGATGCTGCCCGAACCCAGGCCTGGCATCACGGCCCAGCTGCTCCTCCACGGCTCTTTGTGGTGAACCCTCACCCTCCTCCAGACCATGCCGGTCCAGGGTCAGTCCTCCAGGAGATGTCCATGGGTCGGACCAGCCGGGACTGTGGGGCAGCAGAGCCAGGCAGGCACCAAGAGCAAGGCCCCAGCTTCACCACAGCTCCTGGGGGGACACAGGGAGCCCCCGCCGAGGCTCCCACCAGCATTTATGCCAAGTGAGCTCCATCCCCAGCAGCCCCAAGGTCAGACAGCTGCTTATCAGCCCTGGCCCCCAGCCGAGGCAGCGGGGGGTGCGCGTAGCCCCCCCCTCTGCTGCTGTCTGCCCTCTTTCACGCTTGGTAGCAGGGACTGGTGACAAACACCAGCTGTCACTGACAGGCCACCATGTAACGCCGCGTCTCTGGTCCTGGTGACCACGGGATGTGGGGGTTTTGTTCCGGGCTGCTCTTGACACCCGCCCCCAAGACTGGGAACTGGAGCGGTTCCCGGCTGCAGGGAGCTCTGGGGACCAGCCCCATTACCGAGCAGTTTTTGGGGTGTGCTGCAGCACTGATAGCGGGAGCCACAACCAGTGTCCCCAGATCAGCCGGGAGGCGGGTGGTGGGACAGGCAGGGGCACGTGGCCCATGTTTGCTCTGGAGTAAACTGAGGGTTACAGTCCACGCAGAGTCCTCACCCGCCCCCCAGGCACGGCCAGCCACGGTGGGGCTGAAGGAGAGGAATTTCTCTTCATGGGTGACCTCCAGGGCAGTGCCACAGAGGCCTCTCCCCGCTGCCAGTGCCTGCTCAGGCTGGGACCTTGACTCCTGGAGGTTTCGTCTGAAGTCGGGAATTTACTTCTGGGGCCCTGCCCTTGTCAGCCAGGAGCAGGTTAGGGCTTTCCCTTCCTTGACGAGTGAGTTTTAAGGAAACCAAGTGAGCTGAACTTCCTTGTTGGCTCGGAGCTACGCCCTGTGCCTGGACACATTCCCGGCACCGGCTGAACCTGGATCCAGAGGAGTGCTGGGAGCTCCCGAGGGACTGGATGGGCTCCAGGGACCCCTTTTGAGATGTTGTGGCAAGGGATGGTTGTCCTATGAGGCCCAAAGGTTGCTATTTAACAACAACAACAGTGAATAATCACAAAGGTCACAAAACACACTTTCTGGCCTCCTGCTCACATCTTCTCCTGGTGCCAAACTCCCTCCCCTGGCCAGGGGGCTGGCTCCTGGCTTTTCCCCTGCCCCTTCCTCAGCTCCTTGCCAGGCTGGATCGCTCTCCAGGAGCGCTGACCTCTCATTTCCCAAGTCTGGTCTGGCCGTTTGTGGCCTCCGCTTCACCCAGAACAAAGGTGGCCTCCAGAGGTGACAGGAACCCAAAAGGAACCAGGCTGCCAGCCCTGGAAAGCAGGAAGGCTGAGAAGGACAGCAGATTTAATAACCACGCGCTCCGAAACCTTCTGGCCTTCTGCTCTGAAGCCAGGGGGGAAAGGGAGAAGGAGAGGGAGCTGGAGCTTCTGGTCATGAACGGGAGACACCAACTCAACCAACATGTCCAACCTTGGAGGCAGGCCAGGCCTGGAAACCTAATGCCAGCGGGTGGACAGGACAGAGGAGATGGGGAGGGGGTGCTGTAGGTTAACAAGAGCCAAGATTAAAACAAATTAATCACTTCTGGGTGGAAGCACAACCCACAAGCTGGGTCTGAAGAACATGCGGACCTTACTCAGAACCCCTGTGGCTGAAGAGCTGCTCTGTAACTGTGACCATAGAGAACTGCAACCCAGCAGCCTTGCAAGACTGAAAACCCCCAGTTTTGCTCAACTGCAACCATCCCCCACCCAACAACAACAAAACCCAGGAAAAGGGAACCGCAGAGGAGCGAGTGACAGGGCAGAGAATGACATCCTGGTGGGCAGGCCCACAGCTGGGAAATTCCTGCTCCATCCAACCCCATCACCTCCCTGCTGGCGGAGAACAGGCATCCAGGAGAGGTAGGGGGAACGGTGCCACCACCAGCAGCCTGGCCAGATGCTTCATGCTGGGGTGTCTGTGGCTGCAGAGGGAGGGGGCACATCCACAGCCCCAGGACGGGTCTGCTTCTCCTTTGTTGCAGGAAAAGGAATCGGGAACATTGTCCAAGAAAGGAAAAAAGAAAGAAAAAAGTGACATTGGCATTTTCAGGACATAATTTGGATGCTGCTAGGTGCTCACATGGATTGCCATCAGCAATTGGACTCCCTCCTCCTGCCCAGCCCTGCGGGCAGAGGCTCTAAAGTTCAACAGCAGCTGCTGTAAATACCAGTGTGAGTGTGGTGACGCTCACCGCCCTTCCCTGCCATTTCTCTCCCAGGGGAAGCACCATCTGCTCTCCAGTGTGGGTGCAGAACAACAGCCCATACTTTGGGACCACCCCTCGTTGCAGCTCTTGAAGGCATCCCTCAGGAAAAGGGCAGGTTACGTAGCAAAGGTGCCACCACACACATCTCACTCGTGCTGCAGGGCCTCCTCCTGCTCATCTATTCCCATGCTCAAGACCAGCAAATTCAACCCAACTGCTCTACTCTCGCCTGGTTTGAACATCAAAACCAGTTCCTGAGAAGCTTCGCCGCTCACGGCAGGGGCCAGGGATTCCACCCCTGCTCTGCTGAAGCGTTCAGAAACCGCCACGAGCAGCGGGTGGGTGTCACTTGCTGGGAAACAAAAATAAGTATTAAAGCACTTGCAACTGCTCAGCGAATGCTATCACAGTCGGATCAAAAATGGCATTTCCCATTCAGGCTGTCAGACGCTGGGCCAAAAACCCAGAGTGAGGAATACAGACACCAGGATACAGGGAGCTTAGAAAACTGCCTTTATTCTATTAGTTGTTGGAAAAATGAAAATACAGAAAGAGTTTAGTTGGCTGCAGAACAGCAAGAAGTTCACAGGTTAGGAGTCTGATCACTACATGGTAACCAAACTTACACAAAAAGTTTCATTTTTTTTTTTTTTTTAGTTTTGAAACTGGGTCCAGCAATGAACTTAAGGCAACTGAACAGTTCAGAAGCTTTGAGTGTGAGCAGGCTGTCTTTTCTCATCCCTACGGCACGTCATGGAAAAAACTCCTCCTGGGTGTGCAGACCACTCAAATCATTCAAATGGGTCAGACTCTTACAAATGAACAGGGGAAGAGGATCAGCTGCTTTCCATCGGACTTTATTTTCAAATACAGTTTCTTAAAAAACCCAGAACACCTTAACGCAGAGGTTACAAGTAACAGTATTAGGAAATCCAATTATACAAAAAATACTACATCTAAGCTGGGGTAAATAGATTTATTTTTGGTAACATACATTTAAACTGGCACTAATTACACAGTAACTAAAAGGTAACTAACATGAAACCACAGAACCCTCACTTTTCCTTTAGCTGAATGGGACTTGGTCATTTCAGAGTGATCACATTTTCAAACTAATGTTTTACACCACTGAGCCATGAAAATCAGATCTTCCTAAATGTGATAGCACTGAAGCTACACTCGATTCCACATACAGCCATGTAACTGTTGTACTCAAATTAGAAGAGGACGTTAGTTATAAAGTAGTTACAGACCAATCCTCTGTGTTGACAGCTTTTTCTCTTTATAGAGAGAAGAAAGAAGATAGAGAATTGTCTTCAATTAGCGCCTGGCATATCCTGTGAGTGCAGAAAAGGTTTGTTAGAGGAATGTTGAGGTTAACCTTGGGTGCACAGATGAATTTGATGCAGATTGTTATAAAAATCATGGTTGGCTTCTAAATACTGGTAGCAAGATGACTCGATTTTGAAATCTCTTAAGTAAATTATAGATAATGAAAAAGGCCAGTAATCATACACTAAGATTAATAAACAGCACTTCAAAATTACTCAAGTGCAGGGTGCTGCTTTGGCCATCTTCCTCTGGCCACACTTTATAAGAGAAGGCA